TCATGGAAAATAATAGAAACCAATCAGACTTCCGTATGCATGAAATCAAATAAATGTTGTGACCACTGGAATAACAGTGGAATTAGGTTAAAGCAAAGCAGCTATACATACAAAATATGAGAGCTCAATACTTTACAACAGACGACATCTTGCAGACAAATCAAAAATTAGTATTTGCATCTGTTTTCAATATTTGCAAAGTAATATATCCAGAGATTTCAACAGCCTTGTCATTTCAACTCCTAAGAAAAATCAATTAGCATACTCTGCCCTATATCCAGATACTGGTGATGCCTGGGCACAAGCATTTCCAGGAAGGCCAAGGAGTCTGACCAAAAGATAAGAATAAGTAACTTTCATGTCATGATGAGCATTACCAAGGAAGAAAATCACATCACATTATAATACTAACAATTCAACTGTATTCCAAACTATTATATCAGAAGAAAACATTGAATATTCAAACATAGGGATATGTTCTAAATAACAGACTAAGCTTCTTAAAGATGAGGATGGGTAGACCTGTAGCAACAACAGTAGTAATGGAGCCAACAAATCCGTAAACTTCAGAAGTCTTTGGGTCCCTGATCTCCAGAAACACCAAAACCTGAATCTCTGTCGTCTGGGTCTGGAAAGAACACAGTGGCCTTCCTATTCTTGGAAAAACTCAAGATCCTCCTAGGGCTATTAACGGAACGAGGATCTTCCCAACCTTTATCTTCCAGCATTACGATATCTAAGAAGGTCCAAAGTGTCACTCTGAATAAGAATTATACTTGTCCCAACAATTGCCAAAGCAGAGATGTTAGTGAATGGAAACTGCCTCTAGAATTAAGACATTTCTAGAGAAAAACCACCAAGCACAACTCACAGAATAATACATTAATAACAATGAGGATCATTAGTTCCTTTGAAATTATGGATTGAATGGAGCTAGTGACCAGGAATTCATCCTTACTTAGGAGTATGTTTCAGGTATGATTAGTTTATGGATTTAAAGGTCTTTAATATTACCGTAACTAAAGACATTAATTAAGAAAAGGAAGAGAACTTACTAGTCAATTGTGTAACAAGATGTGGTGCTAAACTTTCAATGGAGATAGGCGAGAAAGAAAAAAAAGATATCGAAACAGAGAAGAGAAGAGAAAAGCTTTTTACAACACTGACTTTAAAAAAAAACAGGATTGGCAATTACACATATCCAGCATGCCACATGACACATGGTGATATTTTAATTGCTTTGTTTAGATCAACAATGCTCTAACACAAAACCACTACATATCGGTTCTCATTTGAACTTAAGAGTCTAAGTCATTTTTTTCTGTCTCACTTCAGAACATTCAGAAAACAAAGAGATGAATAAATGGACAAAATATAAAAGATATAACGCAGCAGCACATAAGGAGGGCATACAGGGGGAAAAGAAAAGAAAATTGGATTTTCTTTTTTTCTTTCTTCCGAAAGGTTTATTGAGACTCCCTGTGACTCAAACACTTGTTCTTTCTTTTAGGGGGCATTGCAATTGCTACATTGCTTGCCCTAAAATCAGAGTTTCTATCTACAGAAGATCAAACTGCGCTACAATATTACTACTTAATAACATTTTCCTCTATTCACATACTTATAACTATTAATACAATCTCCAAACTGCAGCAAGTCATTCAATCTGGCACTGAGGTAAAACCTAAGCTAAGTAGGTGAGTCCAACCGAGATGGACCCATGATTCACCATAATCTCAATCACCATAATCCCAAATAAATGGGACTAACAAGGACGAAACAAATACAACATAAAATACAGTTGCAATCAGATTAGATAAACCCAATTCAGATTATAATTTTCAAAGGCAATTAGATAGACATGTATGAACTACATCCACAGAGAAAAACTGCTTACCGAGTTACTTGAGCTGCTACCAAATTTGTAGACATCTCAGCTACTGAAATTGAAAATTTATAAGGAAATTATGAATTTTTCGAAACCCAAATAAGTATCATTTTTATTTGTTTCCCTAGTTAACTTGTCAACATAGTAAAACAATTATATTAGGTATAATCCAGAGGAAAGGGACAAAATATACTAATTAAGTTTCATCAATTTTAATTACTAGTAATTTGGGAACAATAATGAACGGCCGAGAGTACCTTAAAACTTGTTTTGTTTCAATCCCTGCTATCATTTGCCCATAAATAGAACTTGAAAGTTTTGTCATTAACCGATCTTCTTCATCAATGCACAATGGAACTCAAAGGTTTATAATATCTCCATTGCTGGAATTCAACGATTTCATCAACAAAATTCCTTTCCGCAGATCCTTTTCTTACTTTGATTGCACTAACTATAAATTAGAGTTTGATAATTTTGGGGGGAAACAACGATATCACGATCGGGTTCTTGAACAAACAAGGGGATAGTGGATAAAACAAATTTTTTTCTTACACTAAGTCTATTTTAGTTACTTACTAGGATAGTGGCTTATTTTGATCACTTTTATCTTTTTGTGGCTTATTTAGGTTCCGGACTCATTTAAGAACAACATATCGCCTCGTTTGATAGATAGAGTGTATAAGAATAATAGTAAATAAAGTATATTAGTAATATTTGTATTAGTAATGTTTGTACTAATAATACTTATATTAATTACATTGTTTAATCATTGTATTAAAAATATCTTGCATGAGAAAAAAAATTATTTACAAAAATACCCTTCATAATTATGCTGGAAAAGATGTAAAAAAGATTTTTGAGGGGTAATATGGTCTTTAACTATGTTAATGCCTGCATTAAAACCCCCTACATTACTAATACAAAAAAATTTCATGTATTAATCACACACACATCAATACACACTAGAGTAAAATATTAGTTATACATACATATATCATAATATATCAGAAATGGGAGATGGAAGATGGCTCGAGAGGGATTTGTAGTTATTAATCAATCTAATGTGTGTATTAAAATAAGGGAAAGGTTCAAATATGTCATCGAACTTTGGAAAAAGGCTGATCTATGTCATCCGTTAAAAGTTTGGCTCACTATGTCATTTCCATTTAAGAAAAGGCTCACCCATGCCATTATTTGTTAATAGAAAACAATTCGATTATGCAAATTCATTTTTTACATGTGATCAATTATGATTCGCCCATGTCATTAATTAAATTATTTTCTTTAAAAAAAAGGCTCAAATATGCTATCAAACTTTGAGAAAAGGTTCATCTATGTCATATGTTAAAAGTTTGGCTCATCATTTCCATTTGAGAAAAGACCCATCCATACTATTATTTGTTAATAGAAAACGATTCCGATTTTGCAAATTCATTTTTTACATGTGGTCAATTATGATTTCGGCCACATCATTATTTATTTTTTTTAAAAAAGAAAAAAAGCCCAAATATGTCATCGAACTTTGAAGAAAGGCTCATTTATGCCATTCGTTAAAAAATTGGCTCGTCTATGCCATTTCAATTAACAAATATGGCATGGATAAACCTTTTCTCAAACATAAATAATATAGATGACTCAATTCTAGAGGCAGTTTCCATGCACTAACATCTCTGTTTTGGCAATTGTTGGGACAAGTATAATTCTTATTCAGAGTGACACTTTGGACCTTCTTAGATATCGTGATGCTGGAAGATAAAGGTTGGGAAGATCCTCGTTCCGTTAATAGCCCTAGGAGGATCTTGAGTTTTTCCAAGAATAGGAAGGCCACTGTGTTCTTTCCAGACCCAGACGACAGAGATTCAGGTTTTGGTGTTTCTGGAGATCAGGGACCCAAGACTTCCGAAGTTTACGGATTTGTTGGCTCCATTACTACTGTTGTTGCTACAGGTCTACTCATCCTCATCTTTAAGAAGCTTAGTCTGTTATTTAGAACATATCCCTATGTTTGAATATTCAATGTTTTCTTCTGATATCATAGTTTGGAATACAGTTGAATTGTTAGTATTATAATGTGATGTGATTTTCTTCCTTTGTAATGCTCATCATGACATGAAAGTTACTTATTCTTATCTTTTGGTGAGACTCCTTGGCCTTCCTGGAAATGCTTGTGCCCAGGCATCACCAGTATCTGGATATAGGGCAGAGTATGCTAATTGATTTTTCTTGGGAGTTAAAATGACAAGGCTGTTGAAATCTCTGGATATATTACTCTACAAATATTGAAAACAGATGCAAATACTAATTTTTGATTTGTCTGCAAGATGTCGTCTGTTGTAAAGTATTGAGCTCTCATATTTTGTATGTATAGCTGCTTTGCTTTAACCTAATTCCATTGGTATTCCAGTGGTCACAACATTCATTTGATTTCATGCATACGGAAGTCTGATTGGTTTCTATTATTTTCAATGAGCAGTTCTTTTTCTGGTGTGGGCATATCTTCCCGAACATTGGTTGCACTCTTTGGGAATTGTTTACTATCCAAGCAGGTAAAGAAGATGTACTTGCAGGCTTGTGTCATCTTTACATCTTGTCTCTAAAAAGATCCCTTTTTAAATTAGGAGATAATATGAATTTCATAGTTTCAAATTTACTTAGCTGGTTTTTCAAGACGCCAGAAGCTGGTTATTGTATTCCAGCTACCTAAGTTGGGCTTAGTTTATTCCAATTTCTGGATCTATAATGGCATTTGGTTGTTTTGAACAAACATCTTGAAAAGAGGAGGCACAAATATTTAATTGATAAGCCCTTTAGTTGCATTTCAGAAATTGATATATATTGGTCCTACATTTCAGAAATTACAAGTGCATGAAAGCAACTTAAAGCATTTGTAGAATGCTCAAGATGAAAAGAATTTTCTTGGCAGAACTAAGCTGGTCACTTACTAATTGTCACATGATATATTTAACATCTTGTTAAATTGTTCTTGGTTTTATCAGGTACTGGGCATTAGCTGCGCCAGCTTATGCGATGATGACTATATCACTAGCTGTAGGATTTTACATTGGTCTCAACTTCTTGGCTACCCCTCCTCCAACTTCTTTCAGCATGATATATGGTAATTGTTACTTGACTTTCTGGCAATGACAGTAGAAAGGATTTTCCTAGCGTTTCTGTCTTGACTCTTGGAGCATGCAATACCCAAATTTAATTTTTAGTAGTTGTTTTTACATAATCATGGGATTGAGCTCGTAATGTTTTCTTTTTATCTATTCTGCAGATGAATTCACAAGAGAACCTTTGCGCAACATGCCTTCAACAGACAATGATGAGCAACCTATAGAGCCTATATCTGATATTCGGATTGATCAAATAAATGACCTTATGTTCAATCCAAGATGAGAAATAATTTTACTGTGCAGTTATTTTGCTTGGGTAGATTGTATCAGTTTCATTTATCAGTGTATCTCTTTGATTCACCCAATTCAGGTACTCGACATTAAATGTAATTTAGATGTGGCTTTTTTCACAATCGTCCATTTGCTTTCCTCTGTGTAGTACAGAAAAACTAATATACTGGTTAGCAAGGGTATATTACTGTTAGGGAAAAAGATCAAATTGACAAGTTCATAATGTTTCTGGTATTTGAGTGTTTTTCTTTGCTCATTGGTTTTAGAAGAAGTTTACTGTTTAAAGACACCATATTTCTACATCATTTCTTTATCCAAGTCCATAAGCAGTAAAAGGTACAAGTACAAAAATGGAGCAGCAGCCTGAGCAAAAGAGCAATTGAATGTGGTATTAACTCAGTTCACAAATACATAATAAAGCAACAATTCATCCAAACCAAATAATATGACTACAACAATCAAAGAATTTAGGATGTTCGAACAAGCAGCGATATTGATTCACCCAAGTCGTGTATTTGTTGTATCGTAGAAGAAAGGTGTCTCTTAAAAGTGCAATCATCGTACCCACGCTACAGAATCAATCTCATCTCTTGCTTTCTTGTACAGTTCAAGCCTCTTGGCACATTGCATTCTTCTCTCCATCAATGCAGGATCTTCATCTAACAATTCTGAAAGTGCCTTGCCCTGAGAAATATAAAGAACTGTCAGCACTAGTACTATAAAAAAAACTCCTAATTCGGGATGAACACTGAGATAGTACCTCTTTCTTCCCAATCTGAGTGTAGAAGTAGTTCAACAAAGATTGTTTGGCCTCCTTAACTTGACAATAAACCACTGCTTTGGGGAGTGTGTTCCTCAATGTATCAGACACCATATTCACATATGATGATACATTTGAACCTATCCGACGAAAGTGAGCCTCTCCATACCGGTCTACGGCAGCAGAAGCTTCTGGCTTTCCCCCCTTGGGGGTTTCCATCTCCTGAGGTAGCTTTCTGAAGAAATCCACTGTCAAGTAAGAAGATTCCATGTCCACTAATCTGACTACCGTCTTTCTACCTTCATCCCGGAATTTTTCCAAGGCTTCATTAGAAGCTGCAGCTATTGTAGATTGTAAACTGGGAAACCGCTTCAATTCCTGCTCCACCAATATATTTAGAAATAATCAGAAAAGGGAGAAGAGGTTATTGTAGCTAAAAATAAAATACAACACAGCTGCCCGGCACCATTACCTGACATTCTCCAATAGATTTCCTCACTAGTTCCTTCAACACAAAGTGAACCTGATATGTCGTTTCACATAAACTTAGAGTTGATAGGAAGCATTAACTATTTGACCCTGATAAATTTTGAAAAATTACTTACAGCATCAACAGAGGCTTCAGCTGGGCTTCTAAAATAATTTAAGGCCCCTTCAATTAGACGTCTATAACCTTGCTCAGGTGCTATCAAGTGAGGCTGGTAACCATCTGCCTCTGAAACAACTTTCCTCACATTTTGCACAGAGAGATAACGGTCAAACGGGAGTTTTCTCAAAGCAGCAGGTAGTTGGTTGTCAAACACTCCATAAATTCAATCACCACCAGGTCGACTGATTAACAAAAAGAGATAAATTCATGTTATATATAGTCTAGGTGCAGAGCAATAAACTGGAAGTTCATCTTAAATCAGTACAAGCATTTACAGACAAGATAGACGAGTGTCACATGTCTACTGAAATGTGTTGCCAATTCCTTGAGTTTAATGGGTACATCCTTTTTTTTTTTTTACAAGTTCTCATGAGTGAAGTTTCTTCAAATTCTTTGTGTTTTATGGGTACTAGTCACATTTGGTGGTCTCTTTTCAGCCTATGCCAAATCCCTCCTTGTATTTCAAGTTCCTTTGTGCTTTATGGTTTTCCACTATGGTTCCTTTGGATTTTTTGAAGTGCTTACGATAATGAAAGTTAGATTTGGAAAATTAAGGGAAAAAAGAAAACAATCCACTTACCCTCCATCTAGATGCTCCTTAAATATCTTATCAAAAGTACGGCAAAGTTCCAAAATAGTATACAGTTGAGCCTGAAATAGACCAGTTCAGTTACTAAGATAAAGGAAAATCTCTCGATCAACAGTAGCAACGATAGATATAGAAGTCGAAGCTTACGCCTGCATCAACAGCAATAGGCCTTCCAAGGTGGTCCAGTTCCGATTCAAGTTCATCTATGCTTTAATTGATAAGTGATGTGATACTTGGTATTCTTGCCTTAATAAATTGTTCTAAGTGCTGAAATGGAAACAATCTGAATATGAACTCTGCTCAACTTATTTAGGAACTCCTTACATGAAAAGAACTATAAGTATACCTTTGACAGCAGTTTTGCAAGGTACTCCGAACCCATTTTACTAGCCAGATGCCCATACTAGCAGTTTTTCATCTTGAGCATTCTGCAAATGCTTTAAGTTGCTTTCATGCACTTGTAATTTCTGAAATGTAGGACCAATATATATCAATTTCTGAAATGCAACTAAAGGGCTTATCAATTAAAAATTTGTGCCTCCTCTTTTCAAGATGTTTGTTCAAAACAACCAAATGCCATTATAGATCCAGAAATTGGAATAAACTAAGCCCAACTTAGGTAGCTGGAATACAATAACCAGCTTCTGGCTCTGGTGTCTCAGACAAACCAGTACTATGAAATTCATATTATCTCCTAATTTAAAAAGGGATCTTTTTAGAGACAAGATGTAAAGATGACACAAGCCTGCAAGTACATCTTCTTTACCTGCTTGGATAGTAAACAATTCCCAAAGAGTGCAACCAATGTTCGGGAAGATATGCCCACACCAGAAAAAGAACTGCTCATTGAAAATAATAGAAACCAATCAGACTTCCGTATGCATGAAATCAAATGAATGTTGTGACCACTGGAATACCAGTGGAATTAGGTTAAAGTAAAGCAGCTATACATACAAAATATGAGAGCTCAATACTTTTCAACAGACGACATCTTGCAGACAAATCAAAAATTAGTATTTGCATCTGTTTTCAATATTTGTAGAGTAATATATCCAGAGATTTCAACAGCCTTGTCATTTCAACTCCCAAGAAAAATCAATTAGCACACTCTGCCCTATATCCAGATACTGGTGATGCCTGGGCACAAGCATTTCCAGGAAGGCCAAGGAGTCTAACCAAAAGATAAGAATAAGTAACTTTCATGTCATGATGAGCATTACCAAGGAAGAAAATCACATCACATTATAATACTAACAATTCAACTGTATTCCAAACTATGATATCAGAAGAAAACATTGAATATTCAAACATAGGGATATGTTCTAAATAACAGACTAAGCTTCTTAAAGATGAGGATGGGTAGACCTGTAGCAACAACAGTAGTAATGGAGCCAACAAATCCGTAAACTTCATAACATTTCCCTCTATTCACATACTTATAACTATTAATACAATCTCCAAACTGCAGCAAGTCATTCAATCTGGCACTGAGGTAAAACCTAAGCTAAGTAGGTGAGTCCAACCGAGATGGACCCATGATTCACCATAATCTCTATCTCAATCACCATAATCCCAGAAATAAATGGGACTAACAAGGACGAAACAAATACAACATAAAATACAGTTGCAATCAGATTAGATAAACCCAATTCAGATTATAATTTCCAAAGGCAATTAGATAGACATGTATGAACTACATCCACAGAGAAAAACTGCTTACCGAGTTACTTGAGCTGCTACCCAATTTGAAGACATCTCAGCTACTGAAATTGAAAATTTATAAGGAAATTATGAATTTTTCGAAACCCAAACAAGTATCATTTTTATTTGTTTCCCTAGTTAATTTGTCAACATAGTAAAATAATTATATTAGGTATAATCCAGAGGAAAGGGACAAAATATACTAATTAAGTTTCATCAATTTTAATTACTAGTAATTTGGGAACAATAATGAATGGCCGATACCTGGAGAGTACCTTAAAACTTGTTTTGTTTCAATCCCTGCTATCATTTGCCCATAAATATAACTTGAAAGTTTTGTTATTAACCGATCTTCTTCATCAATGCACAATGGAACTCAAAGGTTTATAAGATCTCCATTGCTGGAATTCAACGGTTTCTTCAACAAAATTCCTTTCCGCAGATCCTTTTCTTACTTTGATTGCACTAACTATAAATTAGAGTTTGATAATTTTGGGGGAAAACAACGATATCACGATCGGGTTCTTGAACAAACAAGGGGAAATTTTGTTTGCCGGAGATGAAAAACTTAGGTGAAGTGCACTTACCCTTAAAAATATTACTCCATCCGTCCCACATTTTATGTGAGTTACTTTGATTTGGCACGGAATTTAAAAAAGAAAAAAAGATTTTAAAAATTTGTGGTCCAAAATGAAAGATATAAATTTGTGTGGTTGTAAATCATTTCATTAAGGGTAAAATAAATATTTTATAGTCAAATTGTTACTTAATATAAAAATGTGTCGTTTTTTTTGGGACTGACTAAAAAGGAAAGCAAATCACATAAATTGGGATAGAGTAACAGTGTTAAGGTAACTTACCACCTTCTTCTTTTTTCCATCAATTAACAGGTAAGGACTGGGTTGTGAACTTGTAATATTAGTACCTTCCTACACTTTTTTTAGTCTATAATATAATATAATAATCATTGTATTAGGAGAAGGCTCAAACATGCTAGTATTAAATTTTGAGATAAAAGGGTCATTTATGTAGTCCGATAAAAATTTGAGTCATCTATATTATTTATGTTTGAGAAAAGGTTTATCCATGCCATATTTGTTAATTAAAATGGCATAGACGAGCCAAATTTTTAACGAATGGCATAAATGAGCCTTTTTTCAAAGTTCGATGATATATTTGGGCTTTTTTTCTTTTTAAAAATAAATAAATAATGATGTGGCCGAAATCATAATTGACCACATGTAAAAAATGAATTTGCAAAATCGGAATCGTTTTCTATTAACAAATAATAGTATGGATGGGTCTTTTCTCAAATGGAAATGATAAGCCAAACTTTTAACATATGACATAGATGAACCTTTTCTCAAAGTTTGATAGCGTCTTTGAGCCTTTTTTTTAAAGAAAATAATTTAATTAATGACATGGGCGAATCATAATTGATCACATGTAAAAAATGAATTTGCATAATCAAATTGTTTTCTATTAACAAATAATGGCATGGGTGAGCCTTTTCTTAAATGGAAATGACATAGTGAGCCAAACTTTTAACGAATGACATAGATCAGCCTTTTTCCAAAGTTCAATGACATATTTGAACCTTTCCCTTATTTTAATACACACATTAGATTGATTAATAACTACAAATCCCTCTCAAGCCATCTTCCATCTCCCATTTCTGATATATTATGATATATGTATGTATAACTAATATTTTACTCTAGTGTGTATTGATGTGTGTGTGATTAATACATGAAATTTTTTTGTATTAGTAATGTAGGGGTTTTAATGCAGGCATTAACATAGTTAAAGACCATATTACCCCTCAAAAATCTTTTTTACATCTTTTCCAGCATAATTATGAAGGGTATTTTTGTAAATAATTTTTTTTCTCATGCAAGATATTTTTAATACAATGATTAAACAATGTAATTAATATAAGTATTATTAGTACAAACATTACTAATACAAATATTACTAATATACTTTATTTACTATTATTCTTATACACTCTATCTATCAAACGAGGTGATATGTTGTTCTTAAATGAGTCCGGAACCTAAATAAGCCACAAAAAGATAAAAGTGACCAAAATAAGCCACTATCCTAGTAAGTAACTAAAATAGGCTTAGTGTAAGAAAAAAATTTGTTTTATCCAATAATCCAAACGTTTTCCGTTAGTCTCTTAACATGTATATTTTAATATTAAACAGAACTATTTTTTACACTTTGTAAAGTGTAAGTTTTTCTTACACTTTATAAAGTGGAAGAAAAAAATTCTATTTTTACAAAGAGGAGTATTTTTCAAGTATTGTTATAGGAGAACGTTGTTGACTAGTCTTAGGCTCCTTCCTAACATGAATTTTAAGTATTGTTAACTTGATTTGATCTATGTAGTCATTTAGAACCCTCAAAAAGTTGGTCAACGATTCGTCATTATAGATAATCCATTCTCCAAAATTTACATGTCCTTATGATAAAAATGAAGTAGGGTATTTTATGACTTTAATCATATTATAATCAATATTATTTAAACCTATTCTTTTATAAAATGATGAAAGAAATTTATGATATCGGGCATTAATTGAATATTTAGCATTGTGTTTGGGAGGACAATTATAATAAACAATATTTTCGTCATGTATAATTTCGTCATCTGAATAAATCGAAACTCTAACTTTTGGTTCAGAAGACAATTTTTTGTGATTGAAATGAAGAAAAATAGAAGACTAAAGATGTTGAAGGGCAATGTTTGAACGTCCTTAAATAGAGCTTGGAGTAGTTTTTAGAATTAAAAAAAATACATAGGGTAATAATTTTTTTTGTTTTTATGATATGTCAAATTAATATAATTGTATGACAAACACCGCAAAAACTTCATAAAGAGAGACAATTTAATTTAAAACGGGAAATATATTCCTCTTTGTAAAATATAATTTTTTCTTCCACTTTACAAAGTGTAAAGAATAATTCCATTTTTATTAAAATATTCACGTTAAGAGACTAACGGAAAACATTTGAAACATTGGATAAAACGGAAATTTTTCTTACACTAAGCCTATTTTAATTACTTACTAGAATAGTGACTTATTTTGATCTTTTTTTTGTGGCTTATTTAAGTTCCGGACTTTTCTTAAATGTCAGTTATGTTCGCATCACAAACTATTCTTTTCTTAAATATATAGTATGATATGTGTAATTGTAAGGGGTCGTTTGGTTTGAATATGAGTTATGATGGGATAAGTTATGTTGTGATAAGTTATGTTGGGATTAGTTATGATGAGATAAGTTATCCTGAGATTATTTCTTATTTTGTGTTTGGTTTGTTATATTCAAAATAATATATATTGATAAATTTTAAGAACAAGTTGTTTGTTTACAAAATTACCCTTCACTTTATTTAAACTTTTTAAATTTTTCTTTGTGAGCTTTAGTTATTCATTTTTTAAAATAAAACTTTTATTTTATTTAACTTAAATATTTTTGTTTATGTATTTCCATGATAAGTACCACGTGTATTTAAAAATATAACTTTTTTTCTTATTTAGCTTAAAAATAAAACTTCCCTCTTAAGTTTATTAAAGAGAAGAAAATTTATGAGAAATCAAAATAAAATAAACATAAGAATTAGTCAAATAAATTCATAAATAAAAATTATATTTATATAGTATAATTTTTTAATAGAAAAATATGTATAATTATCATAAAAATAAGGAGTAGTAAATATTATTATACATGGTATTAAAAAAAATGTAAATATACATAAATGTGAAAAATGATGTATAAAAAGGATTTAAAGGGACATATTTGTCATTTATCTATTTTATCTCGGGATAAGTTATCCCGGAATTACTATACCACCCATGGGGAGGGATAACTTATCCCGGTACTAATTATTAATCCCAGGATAAGTTATCCCGGACTTGCCAACCAAACAACATAATTTTTTTTATCCCATCACTATTATTTCTAATCCCTCACACCAAACGAGTCCTAAATGTGTTTGTGTATTATCCGACTCCTTTGACTTTGAGCTCCAATATGATGTTTCTTTAGGTGACATTATGATAAACTACTGCTACTTTTGATTGCTTCATTTTCTTTCTACTCCTGTATATCTAATTGCTTGGTCCTTTTGCTAGCTTGTCATATGCGTTACCTTTTTAAAAAAATTACATTTACCTTCCTGCTTTTTTGGTATTCCACGAAAGTTTCTTATTGATTCTCTTCGAGTGCACGCTGAGCTAATAGCTCTTGTTCGATAACTTGTAAATCACATAGAAAATGTGTACCATACTAGATAACTAGTCGTGCAACAAGCTCGACTAAGAAGCGTTGATTGAAAATCGATGAATATGCTAATGAAATTGAAAGTGGTTATGTATTATTCTTTTCCCTTAAATAAGAAAAAAGAATTCTTCATTCCTTCATCATCGAATACTGATTTTTACCAGTGTGGAGCCCTGTAAAAGACAGTGAAACGGCGAGCCAACGGTCAAAAAATCAATTGTTAATAGGAGACAATTGCGGACAGCTGCTCGCCATTTGCTTTCTGCAAAATCTTTGAAATTTGCGTGTGAAAATAAAAGTTACTCGTTGAAATCTGCGTGTGCAAATCTAAAACCTTTCACAACAAATTAAACTCCCTTTCTTTCACCTTACCAATGGCTAACCCAAAATCATTCTTTCTCACATTCAATCATCTAACAATATACCTCATTCTGTTGCTACTATCACAATCCCCACAAATTCACTCAACATGTCGCAATTTCTGCAACAACATTCCCATAAACTACCCGTTCAGCATTGAAGTATTGTCACATGCTGAATTGCTCCGCTACTGATTTATTCTTCCTAACACCATCAGGAAATTACAAAGTCCAATCAATCAACTACGAAAAGCAAACCATGACGATCTTCGATCCTTCAATGTCTACTTGTTCAATCCTACAACCTCACCTCGACTTCAAAATGTCAGAAATTCAATCAGCTATAATCCCGCCTACGCCTGACACGGTCTTCATCCTCGTCAATTGCTCCATTGATTCCCCTGTACTTAACCATTACAAGTCGCTCTGTTTTAAATTCTCCGGTCATTCGTGTGACGAACTCTACGGTTCGTGCACTTCGTTTAAGTTGTTTCATTTACTGTCTAACAGTACGCCGGCGTGTTGTTTCACGGGTTATGAAACGGTGAAGTATATGAGTATGGATATATTGGATTGCACGCATTATACTAGTGTTTATAATACAGATAGATTGGAAGGTGTTGGGCCGTTGGATTGGCTTTATGGGTACAAAAAATAAATAAATAGGTGTTGAAAGATGAAAGTAATAACTCTTAGACAATTATTTAGTCTACAAACTCATATAAATTGTATATCTGCAAATATTGAAAGATGAAAAGGACATTATATAAATTATAGAGAAAATGGCTTGAAATATATTCGAATCTTGACCGAAATTGTTGTAACAATTTCAAACTTTGGGCATGATCGAAATTGTTCCTGTCCAAAGTTTGAGATTGTTACAGCAATTTCGGTCAAAATTCAGATATATTTTAGACCCTTTTTCCTAAATTATATGACAGTAATATTTTTTTCTTTTAGCTAATTCATGGTGTAATATGCACTTTGTAAATATTCATTACATTTTAAAAAATTATAATCTTAAATGAAAAAAAAAAACTCAAGAGTACATAATTAATAATCATCTTCGTAGAAGTCCAAAGGCATTTGACCATTTTTGGGTTGCATCTTTTAATTGAATATAACGTTATTGATTAAATTGAATCGTGATTTGAAAATATAAACAAAATAATTAGGAGAATAATAACAACACCTCATAGTAAAGTAATTATAAAAGTTGTAAAATGTATGGAAACTGAAGAAGAGGCAAAAAAAAACAAAAATTTACAGAAGAATACGGATGCGTGATAGTGTTGATAGTCTGATCAGGTATTACTTTTCTCCTTTTCTACTTGATAGAATGTTGAATTTGTATGTATTTGAATCTTTCCCAGGAAAAATAAAGTTTCTTATTTTTGTCCCATTTTATGCCTGTTCCCTGGTCGATGTTATGCCACAATGAATATTGTCACATATTTTCTGCTCTTCATTCATTTTGCTATATCATGTGTCCAATTTCTGCAAACCCCTTCTGCAGGTGTAGGTAATTCAAGCATTCTGAGCCGATACTAAGCTGTTCATTCCAATTAAAAAATAAAATCAGCTTCCGTGTTTGATCAGTTTATGTGCAGCTCAACTAATTTTATTTACATTTGAGAGGAAAATAAGAAGAACCTGGATATCCAGGGTGATGGCTGTTGCAAAGCTACACTTCTCTGTTCGTCCTCTTTGTCGTTCTTTTATCTCTTCAGCAAGAATGCTTGAAGAATCCATTAAAGCTGTGGTGGAAGATAAAAGATATGAACAGATTCCTGATATTCTAAGCTCTTCTGAAGGGTTTCACTGCAGTCCGAATCCCTTTTCATTTTTATCCACCTTCCCTGAAAACACAAGTGTCAAAATTGTTGACGAAATTTTACAGTCTTTTTCTCCGATCAGGCCTCGTTATCGCCCTCAAATTGCATATTCCTGTCTCCTTTCCTACAGTCTCCAAAGCTCAAATCCTCTCCCACTTGCTCTTGCCATTCTCCAGCGTACCCTTCGCTCTGGCTGCATTCCAGTACCTCAAACTCACCTCCTACTCTCCACTGCATGGATTGAACGTCGGAGTAAATCCTATTCTGTTTCAAGCATATTGTTGGAAATGCAGGATATTGGATATGCACCTGATTGTGGCACTTGCAGTTACCTAATCTCATCGCTTTGTAAGGTTGATCAGATAGATGAAGCAGTTAATGTATTGAAGGGAATGGGCCGTGCTGGTTGTAGTCCGGATTTGGATTGTTACGGTTCTTTAATTGACAACTTATCCGAGCTAAGAATGACGTCTGCTATCATAAAGACATTGAATGAAATGGTTGCCATATTTGGCTTGAGCCCCAGAAAAGAAACTTTGGTGAAACTTTTGGCAGCAATACGGGCTAACAAAGAGATAAGGAGAGCAATTGAAGTAATTGAGTTCTTAACAAATGAGGGTGTGCATATTGGATTCGAGTGCTACCAATCAGTGCTTGAAGGGTGCTTAGAGAGCCGGCAGTTTATTTTGGCTGGAAAGTTTGTGATAGAAATGACCAAGAGAGGCTTTATACCATACATAAGGTCAAGGCAAATGGTTGTTGAAGGCCTGACAAGTATTGGTGAGTGGAAACTTGCCAATGCCGTGAGACAGAGGTTTGCAGAGCTAAGGTCGTAGTTCCATGCATACATGTGAATCAGTAAGCTTTATAGAAAGGGATCAAGATCATTATCCAGACTGAAGGTGTGACTGTAATTTCAGCAACTCCGTTGGGAGTCCTCTCAGAACCTAGGTACTGTATATCACTTTATAGTTTCTTGATTAGTTTATGAAACTCAAAGCTCGTTATTGCATTTTCATATGCATTAGATGGAAATTATGCATTTTTTGCTTCTGAATGTTTGATACAGTCATACTGAAGTTGTATAGCTTCCCCAGTAATTTGAGATTGAAATGTAGTTTATTATTTGTAAATCATGACTTCTCATTTCCGTTCAATAGTTTAAACTTTTCCTGCTTGAGATAAGAAAAGCATGTGATAAACTATAAAAATCAAGAATTTTTGTACTGTCCAATGTCATACTTAGAAATCTACATTATAAAGAAAACCATGACAAGTTTTAAATAAAATGAGTATAAGTTTCGTAAGAGATTAAAGTTGAATTGAAAAGTTCTACTTGGCAATCTGGTATTTAACCAGATTCTAATGTCAGCTGGTCATTTTTCCAGCATTCCCCAATAGAGAAACAGTTAGGTAAAAGTGGAGTGTTAGTATATAGCAAATCAACAAGAGAAGCGATCTACAAGGATTTGAAATTTTGTTGGTGGGAGGTGACGGATATCCTATGGAATTAGTTGAGGTGTTTGGCTCGGACACCCCAGGAATTCCATAAAGGGTGTCCAGAAATAGCACAATAAATTGAACACACGAGCACTTTTTATTCCAAGGAGGTGAAACCATTAGACTATAATAACTTGTTATGTTAAGAGTGTCCAAATTATGTTATTTAATCATTTTGTGTATCATTTTACTATTTTTTCCGACGACCCTGACCACCATGTGGCTACGCCACTGCAGACACCACGTTCATCAAAAGAAAAAATTTCAAGAATACTCCAACAATCACGGGTGTGATCTAGTAATCAATGAAGTGAAGCAAATTATGAATCTCAAATTTAAATTTATAGTGAAGGCAAGATACACTAGATGATATTTTTTTCATCTGTCTAAGCTTTGGTGACCGGCTGATTAACCTATAATATATATATATATATATCAGGTGGTAGAAGATAACATTTACCCAATGAAATAGTTAAGGTACATCAAGCTGGCCAGTACACTATTATTATAATTACAAAAAAGTAAGAATATTTTTTGATCGGTAAAAGAGCAAGAATATTCTATTTGCTATTGTAATATTCATATTCTTTTGAACGTAAGTTTCATATGCTAACAGGGTGCATGTTATTTCAGGAATTTGTGATAAAGAATTTTTATTTTACTCCAATATGGAAAAGAATTTATTTTAGAACTTTTTTTAAAAAAAAAAGCTTTTATCACATGAAAGCATGTTAGCTAGCATAAAAATATCAACTTTGATGGTTCTTTAAGCGTTCCACTGAACTTTCGAATTTGCTTGACTAGAAAGTTAGCATTGAACTTTTAGATTGGTGTCTTGACAAGTACTCTTTTGACCTTTTCTTCTGTCACAAAAGAAACTTCTATTATTTTCTTATATGTAACATTTAAAATATTTTGTTAATTTGGAAAAAAAATGTCAAAAGTATTTCAATCTTGAAATCGAGACATTTTAACAGTAGATCCTAGGGAGGATAAAGTATACACACTTTGGGTGTGTTTGGTAAAAATGAAAATGTTTTTCTGAAAAAATAAGTGGATTTTTACTTGTTTTAGAGTGTTTTATTAGTAAGGAAAAATATTATTCCAGGAGTATTTAGGTATAATGGTGACAAATACTATGACATTTGGATCAGGATCCGCCCTTAAACAGGAACCCTTGCTTCGACTCCGACTCGAAATCCACCCAAACCCTGGCCTAAGCCTAACCCGAGACCCAACAACTGACCCAGCCATGACAAGGGACCCAATGTCGACTCGAGGCCTAACCCTGACATGCGACCGACCTTGACAATGGGCTGATGGAAAATTTGTAATTCTGGTGAAAACAAGGCTTAAGGGTGAAGTACCACAATCATAATCATTTATTATACCAACCTTCTAATTAGTTTTTTTCTATTCACATTCTTCCTTTTGAGTGCATTTGTATTCTAATTGAAGATTTTTACAAAAATATACGGTCTATATGAATAGCCTCTTCTTCTTTTTTCACAACAGTACTTATGCATACGATATTTTACTGTAGATAATGTATAGAAGTGTATAAGAGGTGCTTATATACATTTTTACGCTTTTATATAGATCGGCTTATGTAAAAATTGTGTTTGTTCTTCTATGAACTTTAATTATGAACTTTAAGTATGTATTTACAAATATTTTTTTACGACTAGTATGACTAAACACAATTCATCTTCAACTTTAAGTTCAAATATTTTAAGTAAAATGAAAAATATTAGTATTTGATGTCTATTCATATATAAAAATATAAATAATTAAGATTTAACTCTTTATTAAGCGCAAACAGCATCTCCTCAAATCACCATGTAAACAATCTTTAGTCTAAAAAGACCAAGCTATGAAATTTAGCTAAAAAAAAAAAACCAGCTCTTTCTCCACGTACCATTAAAAATATTGTCATATCTTTAATTAATTAGTTTGCCAAAAAGAAGTAAACAAATAGAAAAAACAAGTGTAAAGTAGCTATCAACGAGCCATGAGCATAAACAAGTCACACATTTATTTTCTTATTTCTAGCTCTGATTCTCGTACAAACAATTAAATTCTATTTCGTATGATTCCAAAATGTAAACAAATAAATAATCCTATCTAAAATTGAATATGTCCATTCTTTCTTAGTTTATGCCCAAAATGATGTACACGGTTAAAAGAAAATATTAAAAAAATTTAGTGCACTTTCTGATTAAAAGCGGATAACAGGGACATTATTTGAAATCAAACTAATTTGAAGTTATATGCAATTTTTCATTTTTTATATTTTAAGTTAGTATTTTTTTTTTCATAAACATGAAAACTCCGTAAGATGTGAAAATTATCAAAATTTCCTCAAATTTATATAATCTTATCAAATAAGCAAACTATAGTTCATAATCAAGATATATTGGATATCCTAAGGTGCCACATATCGATTAATCCTTTTATAAATAACATTTGCAATAAAAACTTTCAAATACACATAATTTTATAAAATTTCACTAGTTTGCAATAGTAATAACTAATTTTTCTTTTAATATAATTCTTTCACGTGATATAACAATCTAACTCTTCACATCGATCATCATATTTTCTTTACAAAATATAAATTTATAAGTTGAGTTTTACATTTTAAAAAGTTTTGAATCTTAAACTTGTTAATAAGGAGAATTTGAATAATGTTCTTAAACATGTATCTAAACATATAATTTCAAATCACATGTCTAAACGTCCTTGTTAGGCTAGTCAATTCACTATAAAATGAAAAAGGAAATAAAAGTAACCATTCAACGCAACGTGTGGAGTGCGAAAGGAAAAAGGGGGAGTTTACCGTTCAAAATGGGTCTCCCAAATTTGGTTGGAGGCCTATAAATATATCTAAAGAGCCTCGCGAGCTCTTCACATTACCATTCCCTCCCTTTTTGTACCTCAACAAATCACCATTCTTCTACCTTTGGTAAGCTTCAGATCTTGATTTCTCGCTTTCTCTCTTCCCGATCTACGCTTTTTCATTCATCTCCCCAATTTCATACATTGCATTCTTCAATTTACTGCATTTTCTTTTCTCCGATCTGACCCAAATTTTGTCTCTTTGTTTTGGAATTCTTGAGATTTGATTTTGTATTTTGGAGCTAGTTTTGATTTGATCTGATTAGGAATTTGTTTATGGTTGAACAGATCTCATGCAATTTCATCTGGTTTGCGCGTACTCAATTTTGCACCGACAGATTTATTATTTCTCGTTTAAAGATTTGATTTTTTTTTTATACTTGTGGGTTTTTGTTTAACTTGTGTTGATCTCTTTCAATTTCAATGGTGGAGTGTTGCTGGAAAATTTCTACTGTTTTAGGATAGTATCGAGGCTTGGGAATAGTTTAGGCTGGTACTTGGGAATGTATGTGGGAAGGAATAAATTAATGATAAAGCGGGGCGGGTGCATGTAAATACCTGGGTTCTGGCTTTTTTGCTTTTGATTGTCATCTATTATGAAGATTGATGTTTTATACTTTAGATTAAAAGTGTTTCTTCAAGCTTTGTAATGTACATTTTCTGGAGACATGAAGATTCTGTTTTTACTCTAGCAGTTATGATATCTGAAGCTTATTAATGTGAACATGTTCATTTTTCTTATGTGATCTGAAGCTGGAATATATTAAGTGAAGATTCCAGCATCTGATCTCTGAAAGTGCAAGTCTTTTTCTTCTAGATGTTCAGTCCCCTTCCTTTATTTTTAGTGTCAACATTCCTGAGTAATTGATTGAGTCTGTCTTTCTGCAGACAATTTGTAAGACCAAATTACCAGAAATCCATGGGGACTGTTGTCGAGTCTGCTAACCAGGTAGCTTTCTTTACAACTAAATGTGCTTCATATATCCAAAGAATATTCTTATTACCTTGATTATTGGTGTCCACTCCCTTTGTGAATGAGTTCTCATTTTCATATGGTCTAAGCATCTGGAATCTAAACAAAAGTAAAATGCTTTGTACACTGGACGTCATTATTGGAGGGATGCTTGACCTTTAAGCTATCACTAATTTCTCTATTGTCAAAGCAAAAAGAAGTTCTACTATAATTAAAAAAAACCTGCAGAAAAAATTATGAGATTTTAAAGACTTTAAATAGTGGAGTTGTGGTTCCAGTTCTGGGTACAACATATGGGGCTACAACAATTGCACTGTGAAATTAGATACCGATTTTCTAGATTTGCAGGATGCATGTACCAACACAACACCAAGAAAGAGCGGAAATAAGGGCTTTCATGCACTTGTAATTTCTGAAATGTACGACCAATATATATCAATTTCTGAAATGCAACTAAAGGGCTTATCAATTAAAAATTTGTGCCTCCTCTTTTCAAGATGTTTGTTCAAAACAACCAAATGCCATTATAGATCCAGAAATTGGAATAAACTAAGCCCAACTTAGGTAGCTGGAATACACTAACCAGCTTCTGGCTCTGGTGTCTCAGACAAACCAGCTAAGTAAATTTGAAACTA